GATTCGCCCAAGCAAGAAACAAAAATATGGAGTGTTGGATGTGGAATCAAGAAGAAAATAAAATTGATATTAAATGAGACCTGTTCCAGAGGGCTTTCCAAAGCATGGGCACCGTTGCAAAAATGGCTTTTGTAACGAATCTGCCCTGTTAGCATTTAGAGAGACTTTCTCTGAAGAGTTTAATGCATGATCGTGATGTTATAGACAGCTACTTCAAGAACTTGGGTCACAAAGCATTTAAAGCAGGGGTGTCCAACCTTGGCAACTTTAAGACTTGTGGACTTCAACTCCCAGTTGAAGCTCCCTTCAACTCCCAGCAAAGCTGGCTGAGGAATTCTGGGAGTTGAAGTCCACAAGTCTTAAAGTTGCCAAGGTTGGACACCCCTGACTTAAAGCCTTCAGTGTGGTTAATTGTGATAAGCAGATGTGGAGCTTTTCTCAGGAAATGCTGTAGCCTGTATGTGAATGGCTGCATATGGGAAATACTGTCAAAATTCTGATATATTCTAGAGCCAGTTTGGACTAATAGAATTCTTTATTGGCCAAGTGTGATTGGACACACAAGGAATTTGTCTTGGTGCAAATACTTTCAGTATACATAAAAGAAAAGATACAAGAGTCAAGAAAATAATGGTTAAGGCACCAGGCTAGAAAGCAGTCCCCCCTTAGGCATGAAGGATGTCTGGGTGATTTGGGGCCAATCACTTTCTCTCAGCCCAATTCATCCTACAGGTGCTGTGGGGAAAGTAGGAGGAGGAAGGAATATTGTGTGTGTTTCCTGCCTTGAGTTCTTTATAAAAATAATAAAGCCAGGATATAAATGAATAACAATACTAGGTTTGCAAATTGCAGTAAGCTTTGGTTGGTTTAAATGGCGTGTTGAATAAACAGCCATTGACTGAGTCTGCCCAGCATGCCAAACTAAAAGCCATGGTTTATAAATTAAGGGTATCTAGCATTACACAATAAAGCAAGAAAAGATAAAAGCCATGGCTGTTGGGCTTAGTACCAGTCCTTAGCTTTAGACAATAAGGTTGATTTGATTATTTGGTAAGAGTCTGAATCCTTTTGCTTTTTGTCCCCCTCAAAAAATGGACAGCTGAATCAAAATCTATTCCAATCAAAGTTCCTGCAGATCAAGGGAGCTGCACATCATAAGCACTGCGTATGGCTGGAAGAGCAGAAGCAGCTTATGTAGCAAACCACTTCTTGTAATTTGTCTGAAAGGGGAATAAACTTTTTAATGAACCCCTAGTGTGCTTCAGGTGGTTATCAGCCTAATCTTGCCAGAATACCACTCTTGCGGAATATGCTGGCTTCTGCATCACTTTCAAAGTTAGTGCTGTGGATTTTGACACTTCGTTACGAAGCAACCAAGTTCCTTTTAGGAGAGAGATTTATGTTTAGCTGATTTATGTTTCTGAGATAAGAAACAGTTGCATCAGTATCGGAGCTTGGTAAATTCGCTTATTGCAGAATAGAATGGTGGTATGGAAGGCATGGGGCCGCATGATTCCTTTTCGTTTCTCTTTGTTTCAATCCGGCTCAACTTTTTTTCAAAGCACAATATGAAAGAGAGATCTTACAGTGGATAATGGAGTCACAAGTTGGTCACTGGGAATCATAGAATCTATGAGAACAAAGCACATAATAAAACATTGTGACCCAAGCGCAAAGGTCAGGTACTGTGATATCACAACACAAGTTTCATGAAGTCTGATTTTGGGATGCGGGGGTGGCGGGTATAATATAGATTTTATTTAACTGGATTTGTAATGTTGTACACTTTCAGGAACCATTGTTTGTGAGTTGGGTGGCTATATAAATTCATTCAACCAAGCAATAAAGTAGCAGTATTTGCTTTAGCTTTCATTCTTATTAGCTGCCTGTGGTTAATGTAAAACATGGTCGGCCATAAAAATATTTTAAATAAATACAATCCTTTCGTCAGGTGGCTGTGGTTAGAAGATTTCTGGCTTAAATTTGCTTGATTGTGAGAAAAAAATGAAAGAAGCATGTTGAATTATTTTGGAATTGTCTTTGTAATTATCAGATTTTTTTTCCATTCCCTTTTGCCTTCTTTCCATTCCCTTTTAGACTCAGTAAAATTTGGAGAAGTTGCTCTACAGCCTCCCACACTTACAGCGAAACCCAGGAAGAGTGTTATCAAAGACAAGGTATGTCATTTTATTGAGCAAAGTTTTACTTCTCTTTTCTAATTTTGCCAGTGGCCATGCAAGCCTCTATTTTTGCTGTGGAAGGAATTTATCTAATCAGCAGCAAGGCTCAGAATAGGTTACTGGCTGGTATTTAACTGTGTTATGTTAAGCTAACTATGCCTAGGGCTTTATATTTTAGACATCCTCTCCTTAAAGCTGATTCTCTTCAGGATTGCTCTCAGATTAAACCCCTTATCCACTTTTCCTCTTCATGATTCTTCAGCTATTTTTTCTGTTCTTCCAGGGTGATCAGAGGCAGCAACTTCTGCTAACGTCTCTTTTGGGCTCTGGCAGAAAGGCCAGTGTTAAAAAATCAGTCCATGCCTCTCTCGCTCGCCAAAGGATCGTTCAAGAGGAGAGAGAAAGGGTTGTCCAGGCTTATCGGGATATGAAGAAAAGGAAACAGAAGCAGCAACAGCAGTTGAAGGAAAGCTTTCTTGCTATAGACAAACTAAAGAAACCAGCCTGAGTTGGCAGAACAGTTCTGTCATTCCGAGACACACAATGCCATTACAAACCAATTGTAGAATGACAAGCCAAGTCTGCTGTCTTTCTCTTTTCCACTTCGAATGAAAGTAACCAGCAACACTGATAACCAGAATAACAGCTTTGTGAGGTAGCAAATCCAAGTTTACACACTTTGCTTTTCTGAGCAGACCAGTTTTTTAAAAAAAGTGTTTCTTGTATCCCAGTTTGTTGAATTTGTAACATGAAAAACACAGACCCAATACTTGTTACTTCCAAAAGGATTAGCAATTCAAATTGACTACAAGAATCAGAGCTAGTTTTCAGGTACCAATCTATATTGATGTTTTTTATAAGCCTCCTTCTGATGTTGAGGAAAACTCTTCTCCAGATAGACATTGCATTCCTTTTGGAATTTTTTTAATCTATGTATGTTTTCCCCATACCTGGATTATCACAAAAAAAATGTGAAAAACCAAAACAATCCAGGCTGGGTCCCTCTTTGGAGTTTAGTTACCAGTTTCTGAATCAAAGTCGGAGATATTTTGAAGAGCTTGGACCATCTCCTCCAAGATGTTATCAGAGGCAGATGAATTGGATTAAAATACGTTCCAATACAAATGGATCTTGTTGCTAGTTTTGCTGGCTCTCGTTGAAAATGATTTCCTTGCAGAAGAGAAATGGGACTGCTACTCCAAGGGCAGCTACTGTATGGACATCCACCATTAAATAGCAGCAAAAACTTTGATTGGATGAAAGTCCTTAAGATAGGATAAGGCAGAAGGTACACTTCCTTGGCAGAGGTTTAAGATGAAGAGGAAGCAACGTGTTTTATTTTGCAGAGCATTTTTGCCAACTTTACGAAAGCGATCAGAAGAAAACGATGGTACCATCTTCTGTCTTGCCCTTCCAAATCCTGGTGCTGTTGTGCAGAAACAAGAACATGCATTGGCAAAAACCAATGAAAGAGCTTAAATAAGGAAATAAAGTGGTATTGCTATGCCCAGCAACAGTCACACTGTGTTCTTGACTCTACAAGCCAAAATTATTTTAAAAGTGGTGTGAAAAATGACTTCAAAAAAAAAAAAAAGCAAGTGTGTATTTGTAGGATGAAGTTCTCAAAACAAAGGTGACTGAGAAAGTGAGGTAGCAAAATTTTGAGCAGTCCATAAAAAGCAGAAATAGTTGGTTGATTGGAGGAGGGAAAAATACAAAATCTTTAGTTGAGAAATACAATAATTTGTATTGGGCAAATCCTGAGGGGTGGTTGGTCCTAAGGAAGGGACTGCTGGTGTGTGGGCTTTGGATGATGCAGCACAGATTTGTCAATAGATGGCAGGATCTGTACGTGATGAGGAATTCTTTTCCTTAAGCAAGCTTTTTCTCTGAAGCAACCTTTTTACTTTATAATGGAAGAATGTGGTACAGAGAACATCCTGTGTATATTTCCTGTAATTCCCCCTGCGGTTATCTATAGTTTTAACACAATTTCTGATGTTCCAGGAAGATGTTCCGCTAAAACCTTTTAAAACGAAATATAGCCTGTATTTTGCTACTATCTATGGGTGTATTGTATCAGTGATCAGGTCAGTGATGGCAAATATTTTGGGCTTGGCATGTAAAAAAATCAGAAAATGTCTAAACCTGACTGCTGGCATGTCATACATACACTCCAATTAAAGAGAAACCATTTTCCATTTCCCCCACCTTCAATCTAGGCTACCCTGAACAATAGCACTCAGCGCAAAACTAGGCCTAAAGTAAAGACTTGGACTTCAACCTCTGCTGCCACTCAAACAGGCTGCATTGCATTATGCCCCAAGGCACAATTGCACGTGTGGCCCAGCGCTTCCTAGGATCTGCCGTGCGTTGCTTATCTTCAAATGGGGTTCTCTTTCTGTTGTCAAGCCCCTCTAGCCTATCTGGGGCTGCTCTGGGTTGCACAAGGCCTTTATTCTTGAAGCCATTTTGAAAAATTCAGCCTCTGAAAACCATGCGAAAGCACACCCCATTCTCACAATTTTTGGAGGCTCCTTATGCTGTGCGAGAACACATCCTTCTTGTGTGTGGTTCTGAAGGCTGTGAGGGAGCACATCCCATTCCCAACTGGTCTCTTTAACCTTCGAAAAATCACTCAAAAACAGGGCGTGCTTTTGAGAATATTTATTGTCAGGTATTAATGAACACAGGTATGTCATCCAAAACGCTATCTTAGCTTTGACACACATGTCAGGTTTGCCATCACTGGTATAGGTACTAGAAAGGTTATACTCTGGTTTCTCTGCTTTTTTCAGCTCTTTGCTGTGGACTGATCTTTATTAGATTTTCAGCTTATCCTTGAGATTTCTAAGCTTCTACCTTCTGAATATTTGGAAAACTGTCTATACAAGTTACCTCCATTTAAATCATGGGTCTCGAGTCAATCTTCCAAAACTTAAAAAGGATTTATTGGGAATTAAACTGTTGTGGCATTGCCTGGGTGTAGCTGACTCTGAGACACATAATTCATTGTCACCCTTGACCCTGGTTTTCCTCCACCCTCTGGGTGTATCGTAATTCATATTCTCCAGTAGGATACATCCATAGCCAAGAGTCATCAATCATGCTCCCCAGTTAGAATTTTGCATGGCAGAAACTTCGGTCACCTAATTACCATCTTTGAAAACATGGAATGCAGTTTTGGTTTGCAAGCAGCTGCACTGCTCCCCCATCCCTTTCTGTTGGCAACTCTAAAAAGACCATAGAAATATTTTATGAGTTGACAAAGAGGATACTCCTCCTCCCATCACCGAGAGCCCTTTGTACCTTATTCCAAACTGATGTATAAATAGGACAAATAATTAGCAGAACATATCTGACATCAGAGAACATGCCTTTGATTAATTCTTGGACTGAGAATCTGCCAGTGCTATGAGCTAGTCTGAGAAGTCGAAAAACTTTCCCTACTGTTTGAAAGGGAACAACATGGATGTTTTATTAGATTCCTATGGAACCAGGTTTGCTATTAGCAAGAAGAAAAATTGGACAGTAGTTTCTGAACCTAGAAACGTAGAAAACGGACACCACAGGTGCTGATTTTGAAGCTGGTTGCTCCATGAATTTGTCTTACTGTGTTCTTTTGATAGTTTTTAATAATCCATTCTGCCTTAAAATTTATGCAGAAAAAATGCACAAGTTTATTAAATCCTTGAATTATTGTTAAAAATAATAAAGGCAGGATATAAATAAATAAATACAATTTCTAGATGTGATAGTGGTATCTCTTGTCTTTGCAGCATTCTTTAAGCCCCAGTATTTTGTAGCTTTAAATACCTCAAACGTTCATTTTTTCTTCTACTATTGTCTGAGATCTAATGAAAAGCTTAAGGCAGGTATAGGAAATATTTTTCAAGTTCTTGCTAAAACATTTAGTTGAATATCAGGTGTCTTGAGCTGGATTCTATTTATACAGGTAACAGAAGTGCAGTGTTTGCTGTTTTTCCAGTCTGGGGTTACACTGATTGTGGTTTCTATGTGCTTGCCTTAAGCTCTTTTCAAAGAGACGCTGCCCCCTTGTGCAAAGTTTGCCTCCCACACCCCCTTTATGGCTGAAATTGTGTTTTGAGGGTTTGTTTGGCGCAGCACCATATCAATAGTTCCGAGGGGATATAAATGTATGTTAAGGTGGAAACGTGTTCTGAAGGAGTCCAAAAATCCAATCGGTGTCTAGAGAAACTGACAGGTGGTGTGGAAGTGTAAATCCATCTGGTTTCTTTTTCCTATGATCACATGCAATGGGCATCTCTAAGTCACGTGGGAAATCAACATGCCAGAAATAAACTATGATCCCTGATTCATACAAGACACTGTTATGAAAGTGCAATTTGAAATTCAGGCAATTCTTTGTTTTTCTGATCGGGGGGGGGGGGGATTATTCTAATGAATAAAAATGGACCTGTCAGAATGTAAAGGACTTTCTTGTTCTATGTCTTGTTCATTTGACTGAGTCCTGGATTTATATTCAGAATGTGAGATAGCAAGTGTGTTACAAATTTTCACCTACCTATAGTGCTCTCTAGCTTCATCCTGTGCTGTTTCCCCTTCAGCTGAGCCTGTCATTGCAGAGTTGGTTGCTAGATTAAAAAAAATAGGATCTTTGCAAGTGCTGGCTTTTTAAGGTACAAGTAGTCATAGTCCTCAACTTAACCATTCATTTACTGTTCAAAGTTACAGTGGCATTGAAAAAAAGTCACATGATCATTTTTCACATTTACAACCACTGCAGCATCCCCATGGCCATAGGATCAAAACTCAGATGCTTGGCAATTGGTATGTGTTGATGGACCTTTTGCAACCTTCTGACAAGCAAAGTCAATGGGGAAGCCAGATTCACTTAACGATTATGAACTTAACAATTGCAGTGATTCACTTAACAACTGGGGCAAGAAAGATCATAAAATGGGGCAAAACCTATTTAACAACTGTCTTGCTTAGCAACAGAAATTTTGGGCTCAATTGTGGTTGTAAATTGAGGACTACTTGTATTTATAACTGTAACCAACAATACTTGGATACAGTAATCTATAATGTGTGTATACAACAGAAATATTATAGTTTAGAGAAGAAGCAAATTTCCTTGGCTCCAGGTTTAAGTATGGGTACTCTTTGATTTACAACTGGTCACTTATCACTGTATTTCCTTGGGAGTACTTACTGTCTGGATTTGAAGCTCTAACAGCCCTCACGCACACCCCTGGGATCAAGTGACTGAACTTTGGGCACTCAGTAACCAGACCGTATGTATGGCCATTTGCTCCTGTGACCTCATTTAGCAATGGCTTTCCAGAAAACCTGCATTTATTCCAGTTTTCAGCAAAACTGGCTCGAACAATAACAACTGTGGTGTGCACTTAACAAATGCCTCAGAAAAGGACATAAAATCAGGTTGGTCATGTGGGTGACACCTATTTATGACTATCATGAGTTATGACCCTGATGAGCAAGCTCCATTACGGTTGTGACGCAAAGACTTTCTGTATAGTCTTCTTCAGGTCAACCATGTAGTTGTCTTGGCAACAGTATGAACGTGGTTTGCCATGTCTTCTCTTTGGATTTCCACCCCCCCCCCAATCATTGGTGGCCTCTGATCCTGGTACTCACCAGGGCTGATCCTACTTATCTATTTAACAGTAGCATGTGCTGCCCCTTAATTCATTTGTAACATTGCAACAATGGCTGTAATTCCTGCTTGTAATGAGTGGTGATCACCAATGGTGCTCTTCATCTTTACTCACAGAACCAAAGAGACAATTCTAAACTATTGGAATAGGATCAAATTACGATCATAGCGGTACTGGGATTTACATCAACATTGGCTGTTACTTACCTCCCTTATATTCCAGAGCAAATTTGAAAAACCCAAAGTGGAATTTTTACTAGTTCATACTATTTATTCTCCATGCTTATACTTACTATGTAGACATTGTGGTAATGGCAATAACATTTAACCATTTCATAATGCTTTACAGCCCTCTCTGCTGAAGTTTACAGAGTCAGAATATTGACCCCAACCATCTGGGTCTTTGTTTTATCGACCTTGGAAGGCTGAGTCAACCTTGAGTCCACCTGAGCTGGTCAGGATCGAACTGCTGACAGTCAGCAGTGAGTTAACCCGTGTTATTGCATTCTAACCACTGCGCCATTACAGAAGAGAGCCATGTTAGTTTTGGTACCAAAAGAAACAGAAGGCATTCTTTGTTTTCATCAGATGCATAAAATGGCTAGACTGATGAAGTATTTAAATAGAAAGGTGGGGAGGGAGGGCAGAAGACAGGTTGGTTATGCAGATGCAGGTCACTTAGGCTATAGATTACTGTTTGGATCCCACTTCAGCCTAGTCGCTTCTTGCATCCGATGACAAGAGTTACAGCTCACTAAAGCTTAGGCTTTTAAATAAAATTTGTCATGAAAGGCTCTACCAGAATCCTGATTTTCTACTTCCATGTGTTTGAGTGGAGAGCCAAGCTGTCCCCAGAATACTTCATTATGCAAACACCAGGTGTGCACTGAAAAATGTG